AAATGCCGTTTCGTCGTTCAATCGTTTGCGAAGCGGCTCCAACGAAGAAAGCGGATTCAGCAGCGAAAAGGGCAAGACAAGCTGAAAAGAGGCGGCTTTACAACAAGGCTAAAAAATCTGAGGTCAAGACTCGGATGAAGACGGTTAGTTCCTTTCCCTATTTACTCCTACTTCTTTCCCTTTTAATGGGCTCTCGCTAGTTCTGGCTTTTATTTATGTTTGGTACTCCATCCGTCCCAATTTAGGTGGCAAACTTTTCTATGACATCTTTCTAATGTCTATAACTTGTTTTAGACCATAAATTTTCAAAAAAAGAAATCTTTCTTAAATTCCGTGTCCATTCAAACTATGATACATAAAATGGGACATCAGTATTTGTTTGAATTGTCAACTATTTTGTTTTCTGGTAATTTTTCTGTTGTACAATTTACTTTTCTTCATTAATTTTTCGTTGTTCCCATTAATTTTTCTTCGCAACATGTTTGTTTAGCTGTTCTGTAATGTGGTTTTTAGTTTTTACCGTGCAATTTTTTTCTGTTTTGGTGTTTATCTTTTTAGTTTCACTTGTGGTGTCAAGATAGGCTAGGTGAAGGGCCCCTCTTTGCTTCTCAGTTTGGTTGAAGTTGATCTAAAGATTTTAATGTGTTTTGTAGATAATTAAAGAAACATTTAGAGGGAGCAAGAATTATGTGCAGAACAGCTCTATCATAAAGCAACATAAGTGGTCACCCGCGCTCCCTCCCACATACTTGTGGAAGCTGGAAACATCCTATTTTTGCTAGAAGTTAAGCACTTATTGAATCAGCAACATGTTGCAACAAGATATTGACAAATAACTGTCTGAGCTGCTTTTTCTTTGACAAAGGAAAAATGTTCTCTTGATCCTCCTAACATAAGAGGAAGAGCTATACGTCAAAAATTATACATATAAAAGAACAAGAAGGAAAAATTTCCCAATTTCATGTGAACAGGACCTACAAAATGATGTTAGCATTGAAATTTTATTTTAGCTTTGAGGTTTGTTTATTTATCCCTTTTTCTATAATTAATGATAATTTTGTTGAAGGATGGAAAACAGTAAGTTAGTTCATCAAAAAAATTGTTTAATCTTATTTGAGTGCATGTTTAACATTTTTTAACTCCCATCTTTTGATACGTCTCATGTGGTACACCAAGTCCTATTGAATTGTATCAAGTAGCACGGGCAAGAGTGAGTGGATGAGTGGGGGTAGTCCATTTGTTAATCTGATTCCTTGCTTTTGATCTTTAAGGTCTTAGTAACCATTTTGCCTGTCGCACAGCATGAATCACTGTCTTGCCGAACTGTTAAAAACTATGCTGCTTATGGGTTATTGATCCTTGATCCAAAAAAGCAAAAGTTGGAGTCAATATTTAAACTTTGGAGAATAATCTGAATTTAAATATCAATAAAACAGTAAGGCAATACTGATTAGACATTTTGTGCTAAGCGATCTTGCATAGGCTGTCGTCCACTGTTGGATAGCAGTTGTCCAGTACAAAAAATATGACTTTTGCATATATCAAAATTATTACCTCTTGCACTGGCTCTCTGCTCTCAGAGATGTTTCTTATATATTTTTTGAGGTGAAGGTTAAAATTTTGGAGCAAAAGACCATCTTCCGTTCATGAGTGTTTTACTGTAGATTACTATCTTCAGTATTATGCGAGGTCAAGGTGTCTAATTTCATGAATGTCACTTTGAAAGTTAGGTAACTGTTTTATAAATTTTCCACGTTTTGTCCAATATATTAGGATAGCTATAATGGAACCCTTTTTGTATTGTTTCACATGTGAAGACTAGTTGTGTGCCTCGGTATGCACTTGAGTGTCATGATTCCGTAGTCAGCATGGCTTCAAACTCCAGCGTTTGTGGCCGAGTCATAGCTTCAACTGTTTAGGTCAAGTTGGAGGCTATTAGAGCTCCCTTATGGAGTTAGGTAACTCATTTCCTTTTGTTTTCCTTTTGGTCACCTTTTTTCCCCATTTTCAGAGTCCTGGAAGAAAATTATATTATTCTCCAAGGTCATGGATATTTGGAATATGAAGATGTTTTCGTCATCAGGATTCTGTCCTTTGCTCCCGCCATCTATACGTCTATATGGTGCAGTAGATACTAGGTGATCCCAGAGTCTGTATGACTCAAGAAATTCAAGATTTCTGGCTTGACAAAGTCACAATATTACTTAGTTTTTAAGATTAAAAAATGTAGGAAGCTAATTTGAGTATGTCCTTGCATCATCAGGCAAAGTGAATAGACAAAGAGATAACAGTCAGGGACTATAATAGGGAAAAACGGGTTCAATATTTAACAAGAGTTGTTTCTCTCTGAACTGAAACTTGAACTGGAACCAAGGTTCCGGTTCTACTTGATTGATTTGTGGAGATCTAAGTGGTAATTGAGAGTGATGAACAAACTAAGTGAAAAGAATCAGGTATCCTGAGAAGTTTGATAAAATAAAGCCATTGCTAATAAAGTAATGCTGATTAAGTTCCATAAATCTGTCCTTTATAAAACAGATCCATGAATCTGTTTTGAGTTCATTTCTAATGTCGCACTTTTGAAAAAAATTAGTGTTCTCAGTTTTGTGCCACAGAGATCAATTTTCATGGATCCCACGTGCTGCATTTACAGCATGAAAATAATACTTCGAGAAAGATTAAAAGAAGCATTTTCCAGAAACGCCGACAAACATATTGAGAAAAAGATATAGCTGATGCAGGCTTCTTCATCTCAGCATATGGAAGTTAACCTTTGTTCATTTCTAGGTTTTGGAAGCATTGGACACATTGAAGAAGAAAACCGATGCACAGTCAGAGGAAGTTATTTCTGTTGAGAAGTTGATCGCGGAGGCATATTCAGCAATCGATAAAGCAGTCAAAGCTGGGTCACTTCACAGGAACACTGGAGCAAGAAGAAAATCTCGGCTTGCTAGAAGAAAGAAAGCAGTTGAGATCCATCATGGATGGTATGTGCCTGCTCCAGTCGCAGAACCCGCTCTTGTAGCCACAGCTTGATGTCATCCACATTTTCCATTTTGAATGTAAAGCAGTGGCAGATTGCGAAGAATTCAGCTTCCTAAAGTATGATCAGATTATTCCATTTTTGATATTGTATATGACCTTGTTGTGCAATCAATTTCTCCTTTTCTTTTGCTCTTCAGTTAAATTGTGTTTACCTTCATTTTGTTTCTTGAACATTATGGCGTTAATTAGAATATTGATTTGAGACACACTTTCAAATGGACATTTTCTTGGAATTTTAAACTATACTGATAGTGTAAAAAGTTTATACATTGTTAGGGTGTATAACTTAAATCCTTTCTTANCACTATCTGAAACCACATGCTTTTCTAACAACTGGTCTTATAGCCTGTTTGGCCAAGCTTTTTTTTTTGGTCAAAAGTGCTTTTTTTTTTTTTTTTTTTTTTTTTTTTTTTGCCATGGACTTTTTCTCTTCTTCGAAAGCAAAATCATCTTGGGGGGAAAAACCCACGGAAACAATGTTCTGGCTGCTTCTTTCAATGAGGATATTGATGTTAAATGTTTAACATCTGTTACATTTTTTAAACACAGTTAACCATTTTCTAAAGCAAAGTTTAGAATTCAATACAATGAACGGTACTATTAGGCTTAGACGAATAGAAAATGAAATTTAAACATGTTTTTCGTTTCTACTTTGCCTTAAATTTGTTCCTACATTTTGTTCTACCTTGCCTAAAATTTGTTCCTACATTTTGTTCTACCTTGCCTAAAATTTGTTCTTACATTAATAGCTTCCTAACCACTTAAACTTGTAGGACTTTTAAAAGCCGATACATGAACCTGCATTTTTCTCATTTGAATACTCCAACTTGATGCAATGAATACTAATAAACACATTTGACCATTGACTATGCCTAAGTGGAAGGGCGCAGCTGACATGACTAAATTGTGTGCAAATCACGCTATAAAGACGCGTGGATAGTATTGTTTTTATTAAAAAAGAAAAAGAAAAAAGAGACATTTCCCTTTCCCTTCTCTTTTCCCCTCGTCTTCCCTACCAAACTCCCACCTCCCCTTCCCCCTCCCCTTTCTATTCTACCATATTAATAAAGCCAAGCGTTTTAATTTTGGAACATAGCCACTAGCAAAACATAGAACACAACCCAAACAAAGGAAAGAGCTCAGAACCTTATCACACCCCCAACGCAATCGCATAACTCCTTCCAAGATATCAACACCAAACTCTAATAACCAGAAGAAAACTAGTCTCAATGCATAGAAAACTAATCACTCACCACAACAAAGCCCTACACAAGAGCTACAAAAAATAATATTTAAGTTGACAGCCCTTCATTTATTCAAAAATTTCCTGAAGAAAATAATGCTCAAGAGATCTCCCCAAAGAACAAGCAAACCCCTATTCCAACAAACTTTCAACTCCAGATGATATAGTCCAATCTCCAGATTGCTATCCCTACGAAATAGCCGTCGACTCGAGACCGGAGACAAGCTGCTCGATTAATTCGTCAGAATTTTCAAAAGCGCAAGACAAAAATAGCCGCCGACTTTGTGAAGAAGCGGTTGGAAACTCGCCAGATCTATCACTGTTCCAATCACCGAAAGCTGAGGAACTTGCGTTAATAATGAGATCGGTGAAGGTTCTTTCCAAATAAGTGAAATTCGATTGAACTTCAGTCTCCATTATCGGAGCTTATGTTTACAGTCTCCACTATCGGAGATTTTGTTTACAGTTCGTGCCTAGGAGGTGAAGAATAAAAGAAGGTAAAGAGAAAAAAAATAGAAATTTAATAAATTAATTTTGGAAAAAGACAGGGCCCACAAATTAGGACCTTGAACATATAGGTGTCAACAAAATGTGAATAAATGGATGATGTGGCTATATAAAATATTAAATTAAATCCATATCAGCAGCAATTGAACAACACGCACTATCACAAGTGTTTATTAATAGCCATTTTTTCAAGTAAAGGTGTTCAAATAGGAAACTCAAGAGTTTATATATCGATTTTACAAACTGATACAAATTTAAGTGGCCATAAAGCCATTTCGCCTACATTTTAAAACATCTTTCTTTTTTTTTACTACATAATTGTGAGTTTGAATGTAAGACGAAGTTTCTCTTACTTGGTTATGAATAACAAAGATCGAATAAAGGTGGTAACTTGCCCACCTATATTTGAAAGGGAACTCACATTAGTTCTTCTTATATTTTTTGTACCGTTAATTTGTAATGTCCCATGTAAAACATTAGTACTACTTTGGGCATGTTCTCTACTTTGGGACTGCTAGGACCGGGAACGTTTGGGACAGGACCAGATCGGTCCCTGGCGGGCCAAACGGTCAAAAAATTTTAAAAAAAAATCCTGCCCATTTGGGCATTTAAAATATGGTCGTTGGGTCTTCCAAAATAGTCATTTAACCCTTTCAACTTTGTTTGAACTCCAAACTTTTTATAGTTACACTTTTTTCCTATTTTCAACTATAAATACCCTCATTCTTTCATTTTTTTTCTTACAAAATCATCAATCTATCACAATCTCTGTGAACACCTAATTTTTTACCGCACTCAAATTTTATACTAGTTTAGTGTAAATATTTCTTTTAGGTCTAATCTTAATATTTTAAAAAAAAATTATCTTACTTTTAATATGTTTTACTTTAGAAAAAAAGGGGGTGCCAAGAAAAGTTAAAATAAAATAAATAATAAATTAACGGAAGAACAGAATCAGTAAATTAAGAAAGATACAAAATAATATCCCTTTTACCCATGATCTCCTCAACCGCCCCACGATTTCTCCTCCTAACTCCCATTTTTCCACTTTCTCATATTAGTGACTTTCCCACTTCCTCATATTAGTGACTTTTCCACTTCCTCATATTAGTGACTTTTCCACTTCCTCATATTAGTGACTTTTCCACTTCCTCATATTAGTGACTTCCCCACTTCCTCATGTTAGTGGTCATATCCCAATCCCCATTTCCTCATGTTAGTGCTCACTCCCTCACGTCTCACATCATGCTCACACACACAATCACTGGCACACACACACGATCTTACACAAAAACACACATACACATCTATATAATACACTTCACAAATAAAAAGAAGAAAAAGGGAGAAAAAAATTCAAGTAAGAAGAAACGAGAGGAGAAGTTCAAAACACAGACGAAAAAAAAAAGGATGGCTTCTTCTTAAAGGAGACAGGGGGTATACACTCGATATACAGTCACTATACATTCTATATACACTAGAGATACTCTCGATATACACTGGATATACACGGGCAGCCATTGAAAAATACAAGGTCATGAACCCCATCCCAGACGACCACTATTTCGTCTTCTTCGTCCTCACTGTTAGAAATAGATACACACACACACACAACAAAAGAAAGAACAGGAATTCGTGGGACTTCAGTTAGTTCGAGAAATTCCGGCGACCTCCATTAACGCCGACGAAATCGCATTTTTGTCTCTCTCCACTGTTCTCCTCTCATTTTTCAGTTATTTTAGTGACTTTGTTCTACAAAATCAGATCCGGCTGTTTTTTTAAAAAAAAAAATCCGACAAGGTTCCGTCGAGGTCCGAGCTCCCGTCCGTTTTCCTGTCATGGCTGCGGTGTCGATTTTGTCTGTGTAATTGCTGAATGCTTTGAGGAATTGAAACTTCATTTTTCAGGTGCAATTCTTACTTCTTCTTATGTTTCTCTAATGGTAATGGTATGGATTCATTTTGAGTTTATTTTGCAGGTATTATTTTCTGTTTGATTTACAACAAAGTAAGGAAACATGATTAATTTGGTTATAAGGAGAAGAAAACAGTACTGCCCGTCATTTTGATAATAGAAAACCATCCAATTTTCAGTTAAGGATTATATTCATTAATTCATATAAAGTAATTGTTAATATATACATTTTGTAATATTGTAATAAGTGTCATTTGGAAGACGTATACATATTGTAATGACACTTATTTGTGACCTTTATGATTAATGATATACGCAGGAGACAAGAACTTTTCTCAATAGAAAGCTCTTTCTTTTCTATAATGTTTAGCATCTTTCCATCTTTCAAGTGCTTTTAGAAGTGCAATATGTGATTTTTACACTGTTTCATCTTCACAAAAAGAATTCTATAATAATCTTCCACGAGTTATGTTTTGATAATTACTTGGACTGGAGGATATGTAGTTTCTGTAATTTAGTTAGTCATTGCAGTTGAATTAGCAATTATCGTGATTGTGTACACATTCGCGTGACATGATCATGATTCTAATAATCAATTCGGAGTATGCCTTCGCGCAACTTCGATCAAACTTTTGCTAATAATAAAAATGGGTTTCCATGGGCTATTAATTAATTTTTAGTTTATATAGCTTGAGGTGTACCATTCACAATTTTATCATTTGTGGCCCCCGTATTAACTTCACGATTTAGATATAAAATGACAAATGTTTGTAGCATGCTTTAGGCATGATTAATAAATAAACCATCGTGATTGTGTACACATTCGCGTGACATGATCATGATTCTAATAATCAATTCGGAGTATGCCTTCGCGCAACTTCGATCAAACTTTTGCTAATAATAAAAATGGGTTTCCATGGGCTATTAATTAATTTTTAGTTTATATAGCTTGAGGTGTACCATTCACAATTTTATCATCTGTGGCCCCCGTATTAACTTCACGATTTAGATATAAAATGACAAATGTTTGTAGCATGCTTTAGGCATGATTAATAAATAAACCATCGTGATTGTGTACACGTTCGCGTGATATAATTATGATTCTAAAATAAATTGAGGTATGTGTTCGCGCAACTTCGGCAAAACTTTCTTAATAATTAATATAGCGTGATTAATTGTTAAAATAAAAACACAACTTCCTTTTGTTAAAATAAGTGAGGTGTGTCATGCCAAATAAAATTTATAATTCATGGCACTCGTAAGATTAGATTAAGAACTAACACTTATAGAAAATGTTTGAGGTGTGCCATAAATAAATTAAATCATCCATGGCCCTCACAAATATTGCTTTTAAAAATTTAAACAATCGTAATTTGCTTTAGGCCCGTTTTGGATTAGTATTGCGATTATATATACTTTCGCGTAATATGATTGCAAATTTAACTCTTAAAAGACTTGAGGAATGCGTTCGC